TATACCCAATAATGATAATTGTTCACAAGACGCAGACTGTCCATACAAATAGCTAGATTGTGTACCAAATAATGATACCGCGTTTCACAAGATGCAGTCGTCCCATGCAAATGGATAAAAGGCATATCCAATACTAATACAATGTTTCACAAACAGCAGACTTCATTTTCAAATAGCTAGCCAGCATTCCAAATAATGATGCCGTGTTTCACAAGACGAAGGCTGCCCTAAAAACGGTTAGATAGCGGTCCCAAAACTGATGATATCTTATCAGGCAGTTCCAACGAAAATGCATCTCACACGTTCCTTTGACTAGTATCGTCTGTCTGTCACATGAATAAGTTTTTTTCTGTCAAGTTTAGCCTGTTCATTGTTAGACGAGGAATGTGCAGAAATGGGTAGCGTTATAAGTTGTTTTTGATTTGTTAAGAGCCCAGGAATTGTATAATCTGGCGTGGTGTGTGTAAGAGCTGCTCTCCCGAAACAGCGATCTAAAAATATTAGTCAGCCATACAGGAACTAAGAGTAGATGTTGACTCCTTGGTCGAAGATTTCTCGATGGCTGATAGGTTTCAATGTGTTGCTGAATGTAGATTGGAGATCATCCTTGTCTGGCCTTGTCTGAAGACTACTACAAAGAGCTTGCATTGTATTTGTAGCATCTTTTAGAGGGTGAAAATCCTCTAAAAGTGGATTTTCTTGTTTTGTGACAAGTCTGCCAGCCGTGTTTTGACATCGGTGAAGTTTGTCTATCAGATGTTTCGGCAGACCAGTGAGTACCGCATTACAGTAATCCAGGCGCGACATAACACAGGGCTGCACCACAGTGGCAGCGGTTTTGGTATTGATAAAGCTTCGTATCTGGCTGATGTTCCCGTCCAAGGGGATATAAGTTGTTCCCTCAGACGGTCGCTCAGGTGGTGACGGAAGACAAACTCAAGGGTGAAGTTTAAGACGACAGAAGACATTTATTGTTGATGTGTTGACATAAGTCGACAGGGTACAGGTTGATAATAACGTAATGGAACGCACACCGGGACCGAGTGGCCAATGTTTGTGCGGAGACCCGCTATGTCACTTACACGACGTCAGGAAGTCGGACGGCGATTCTTCATTGTCGACAGTCGTGCAATCAGTCAGCTTTCGGTTTTATAGCTAGAGGAATTACATAACGTTGTGGAATGTCAGTGACCCACGTACATCTAGATAATTGACGTTTATAGATAGCGCTGGAGATTTAGGGCTCTGTCCGGATACGATGAAATGTTTGCGTTATACAAAAAGGGATTGAATTGCGGTGCACTATATATGGAAACATATTGAAACAATTAGTTAGTTTATTATGAATCATATTTTAAATAAAAGTATTGAAATGGTTTGCACAATAACATTCCTGAGGTTCAAGTGTGCTTTTTTGCATACTTTGCTGATGTGGGACTGGTGGAAGCGTCAAATGCAACACCCAGATGGAACCCCCAATTTTGAGAACTGGGATCGTCAGCATGCTTCTTGTTGATCATGAACAGACAATCAGTACTTCTGTCTTGTAGCACATGCTTTGATTACATTTTGAGTCATCAGTTTTGCATGTTGTCCACACAGATCATCGTAAGGTGACATCAATGTCTATCAATGAGCAAGTTTTAGGTTTAAACACCAGGCCTAACTGCGTGTCGCTTGCGTACTGGTGGAGGGAAAGATTGTGTGACCGAGCAATGTCTCCAGGTGGGGAAACCTTAGTCTTATGTGATAAGGCTTAGAAGTGAAACCTTAGTCTTATGTGATAAGGCTTAGAAGTGAAACCTTAGTCTTATGTGATAAGGCTTAGAAGTGAAACCTTAGTCTTATGTGATAAGGCTTAGAAGTGAAACCTTAGTCTTATGTGATAAGGCTTAGAAGTGAAAACTTAGTCTTATGTAATAAGGCTTAGAAGTGTAACCTTAGTCTGATTTGATAATCCTAACTGTGAAACATGAACTAATTTGATGACACCGTTCGATTAAAAACCATGATTGACATTCATAAGGTTTTACTGTAAAACCTTGATTTTTTTCTGATTTGAAAATGATTGAGCGTAAAACCTTGAACCCATTTGATATCGCGGTATTGTGAAACACCCTGTCGCCACTTAAACTGAGATAACAGCTGCTGCACAATGCGGGTCATGCGCACGGCCCATGTATGAGGTCATGGTATACGGTCAAGGTGATGGTTCACGCTATCTCTGCTCCTGCAGTAGTTTAATGATGGGCGGAGTGTACAGTTACTGCATATTTACATGTGACTAACACGTCACTGATAAAAGTAATAATTTCTTTAAAGGATTAAAATATCAATGAGACAACGTAACTAGTTAGCTCTGATACCGGGCTGAAGAAGTGTTTATATCAGAGCGTAGCGTAAAACACGTGCGGCCCGCTCTCGCGCATGAATACACGCATCTTTAAGTGAAGAAGAGAACTAATGATGGTATGATCCTTGTAGAATGTGGCAGACTCCC